AATACATTGCTTTTGTTTCGTGGGTAAGTTCAAGAAGCCAGGCAAGTCAAAGGAAAAATATTTTCAGTTAGTATGTCTACAAGTTCTACAGGTTCAAGTTATATAAACTGTAAACTAGTTGGTGCCCGCGAGTTTGTTCGCGTTAATATTATAATATCTCGTTTCTGATAATAGATAATATAATTCGTTGTCAATGCATATTGTAGTTATAAGTGCCTGTTGACAGAGTTTTGATCAAATATTGATATCCCATATTAAACGGAGCCGTGAAGGACTTAATGGGTTACCGACCGGGGCTCCGGCTCGAAGTGCAGGAGTAGGAACGGGGTGGTTTTTAGTCAGTACGAGTCTGACACTCCCTCCCGCATGACCCAGGCGGAAGAAGTCATTCGATTTTCCCCCCTTAAAAATCCCATATTTAAAAATAAAAATATAAGACTCAATAGTTACCATTACAAAAATTAATATGTATTAATGGATTGGTCGGTACATTTCTGCATACATTTTTTTGATAACTCTAAGGATCATTGTAAAAATTAATTTTACATCTATTTATGGATATCTCTAGAGATCGAAAGCATAACTAATTTGTAAACTAAATGAAGTGCAAAAATAAATTTTATAAATTTTAATATATTTTTTATATATTTTTTTTTATTTTTTATTCATGATTAGAATGGCGGAAGAATTTTTTACTATATTCCCCTTTAATAATAATGGCAAGTTAAACAGTAAGTCGATTTCGAAAAAAAAATTAAAAAGTTAAATAACAATATATTTTCCTGAAATAAAAGACTACGATATATTTGTGTTTATCGCAGAATGTTCAGCACACACGTACGATCTCCTGTAGAGACGTAAATGATCTAATCTCAATGAGTCACGGTGTCGATGACCCCACCTGCGATGTGACCCACTCAGATTTTCGTTCAGCCGCGAGGTAGAAAGTTTTGAGAAAGGCGCCGCGGTGACCTTGTCGCGAAGAATGCGCCTCGCGTTTATAATATACAAATTTAAATATTTTATTTATTATTATATTCTCGTTTATTTATTGAAGAACATTCTTTAGATTTTTTGTTTTTTTGTTTGAGTTGTTCATTAATTTTTTTATTAGGGTATCTTTTTGTTACCAAAAATAAAGAAAAAGGAACCTTTGCTTAGACCGAAAGGGCAAGTTGGCACCCACATTACATTACACACTAAAACATAAACTTGTTGTTTTATTAATTAACGTCGTCACGATGCGTTATATATACCTTTTATTGAGGATGGAAAATCATCCAATGACTTCTGCCGCCTCGGGTTGGGCGAGAGGAAGTGTCAGACTCTTACTGACTAAAAATCACCCCGTTCCTACTCCTGCTCTTCAGGCCCAGCAACTCGTTAGCCCTTCCACGGCTCCGTATCGGGCATCAGCCCTACTAGGCCCCATCTGTGATGATCTGATGCCTAAGTATATATACCTAGTATATATACCTAGGACCTAATTTCGGACCATTGGTTGATAGATTACGAAATCTGAACTTACGATTTTAATATAATATCTGACTCCTATTACAGCTTCATCCAAAGGTTGTCTGTAAGAGATCGCCTTGTGCGATAAGACCGCCCATTGTGCACTATATTAATTGTTGTTTGTCCTATGTGTTTATGTGGTGTACAATAAAGAATATTATTATATTATTATTATAACTTTGAAATCGCCGGTCTTCTCGTTTTAGGAGCATGTTAATGCTCATTAGTTTCTTACATGACAGAGACCTTTTTCCAGTGGCAAAATTTAACAGTATCATACAAATATCGAAATTATCAATATCTGGATACTTTGTAGCAAAACAATAAATAAATTGAGACCCTCCCCCGGTTTTCGAAATCTGATAATTGAAATTGTTTTAAAACACTGTAATTTTCTTAATATGGCTGACACACGCGTGGTGGTCGCTAAAGAAAGATTATTTTCCATGGCAGCCAGCTCTCGGAGCATGCTGGCAGGTCGCTCACGCTTTCTTAGTCAAGCTAATAGTTTAGGAGACAACTGTTTTTTCATTATCATGATCTGCCGTTAATTTTACACTTCCTAACTTGCTGGCAAGTATTCGTGTCAAGCCACGGTACAACATATTATGTTGTTTTATTACATCGCTTTTTAGATCGTCGTATCTCGATTGCAATTACGATGTTGACGAGACAATGTAATTAAAATCGTAATTGTTTTTCTTTAAAGGGATTAAACGTTTCGTAGGGAAGACTTCGAAATTGTTAGGTATGAAATAATCAATAATGGAATTTCCCAATAAAAAAAGATACCAAACCCGCTGCGAAAAAGTTATTAAACTATATTTTGCCATCCTTGTTATATGGACTGAATGTAATAAAAATGTATAGGCCTAGAAGGCCTACCTTAATTTTTTACAAAGATTCTAGGACATGCAATGGAGTCGGTCGGCCACCAATTGTGTGACCATTCCCCCAATTTCCCCATTCCTGAAGAACCCTTGGAAGGAAGGAACAGCGTTTTACAGTACTTTAAACCTTCAAGAAAAGAGCGTATTCCTTTTTAAAGGCTGGCACCGCACCTGTGACTCCTCTGGTGTTGCGGGTGTCCATGGGCGGCGCTGATCGCTTACCATCAGATGATCCGTTTGCTCGTTTGCCTCCTATTCCATAAAAATAGTAAATGTATTGTATAAATCCCTCGTAACCATAGAAACGACTGACAACATTGTGGTGCATCACCCCCTTGATATCGATCTATGAGCACGGGCCAGGGTGTCCTCAAGCGTTCTATGTCTTAATCAATTTTTAATCAGTTATAACCAATATTCGAAGAACTTCATTTTGAAGCTAGGTTTTTATAATTATCCGTTTCAGTAGATTCGATTCGTCATTCGTCTTTGTTATTTGTTTTGTAAAGAGGGTTCTTGGTTAGGGCTACGCCGATTGCTAATTGTAATTTACAATTCGATTTGTGTTTGACACAATTTTTATTTACATTACCACCAATAGACTTTTTCTGACTTTAGAAACAATGAGGAATGTTTGACAGTTTATATTATTTTCTAAAATTTCCATTGATTTCATCGCTGGAATTTTTTCGACTTCGAAAAGTTCTCATGAACTGACAGCATTATTAGGATATTTCAGTGCGTGAAAAAAACCTTATGTAATGGAAAACAGACAAAATTGCCGTTATATTGTACTTTTACGTGTACTTCCGTCTATCCCACCAAAGATTAATTTATATATATAACATCACGCCTTTTATCCCCGAGGGGGTAGGCAGAGATGCAGATTAAGCCACTATACAATGTAACACCCACTTTTCACTATTTATGTTACGAGTCCCATGGTCTTTGGTTCTGGCCTATTGCCATATACTGGGCACAATTCCAGACTCCGTGCTACAACTGAGATTTTTTTTAAACCCAGTAATTCTTTGCTTTATATTATTTGCAGAATTATTTATAATAATGTAAAATAAACCATTTCCAAGTATATGAAATCCGCAATAGTTAATCAATAATAATTTAAAAGAAAGTTGCAATGTTGTTATGAAACCATCGATCAATAGACCGCACCCATAAACTACGAGTCTATAACCGATAACTATCGATTATATCCATAAAATCATGCCATTTTCCCTTAAGAAGAAGCTTAAGAGGGAGATAATTAGGTACCAAAGATATGTCACTATTAATAACATCACAGTTAGCAATTACCGAAAACTTTATTATTAAAGCTGTTTCAGGATTTAACCAACTCGGGACGGGTACCATGAACGTTAGTTTTCACATGTACCGGTTTCTAACATATAGGTGCTCGGCGGTAATTAATATTACCGCCAAGCACCCTCGACACCGGACGCCCTGACGTTTGTGAAAAAAGCGCATAGAACTTTGAGATCGGGGAAGCACAATTTGCAACTCTATTAAACACGAAAAACCTCGATAACACCTTTCTGATACCAAGGTCAATGCATGCTCAACGGCTGAGCTCACGCCCACCAGACCAATTAGACAGTCAGACAGAAAATTACTGAATAACATAAATACTATAAAAAAGAAAGTTTCTAATGGTCTTGTTAAGTATTCAATCGATAGACCAACTATCCACTGCTTTTTATTTATAACCAACCAATATCGATTAGCTTGTGTGGTGGCAAGCCAGGGCACATTTATTAGCATCCCTATTCTTGACTGGTTCGAGTGTTCCAAAAACTGACAAAGGCACTACAGATAGCCCGGACTGCTGACTCAAAGCTGGAGTAGGAACAGTTTTAACTGGTTTTTAGTCAGTAAGAGTCTGATATTCTTTCTCGTCTCACCGAAGGGCGCGGTAAGTCATTGGATGATTTTCTCCCCTCACAATAAAGGGACTACACATAACACATTGACAGATAATAGGTAGCAACGCTCTTTTATAAACCTGAAGATCAAATAACACTAACTACGGTGTTACCTGCATGCACTAGAAAACAAGCAAAATAAAAACCATTAATAATATAAGCTATAGGAACTCGACATACTCTATTTCTTAAAAATATGGCTCGTGATCGAATTAGTTCGCTTTCGCCAACTTAAGATCACTATTTGTGATGCTTCACGGGCAAACACGACGATGTAATTCGTCACAATCTACTATGTCGAGCTTTCGAATCCACAAGATAAACAAATGTTCTACCACGTTGAAGATACTCTGTACTGTGGCAAGGGGATTTAAAACGATCATGATTTGTCAATCAGTAAACGTTACATAAGTAGGCAGGATTAACCCAGGTATTATGTACAAAGGTACTACACTCGACCGCCATGTAGTAACACTTTTACACAATGCAGCACTAAGAGCTCGCTATCTCCGAAGTGCGAAGAGCTGCGTGGTTGTTGGCCACACTTGTAAGGCCACGTGAGTATTAATTAGATAAAAGACACTTATCAGAACGCTAACTCTGGACTCAATGTTGAGCAGAGCTGAGTTAAGTAAAGGTTTCTAGTCCACTAATTCTAAACTAATTGAGAAAGAGGATGCATTAAAAAAAGACATAAACTGTGAACATATTTTTCTGGTCCTGTGTTTATAAATGTTATGATTGGGAGTAATGCTAAGTCTAGCATTAGACACACCGCGGCTACTGCGCTCAGAATCACCTTGAACATGATCTGGCGTCGAAGTGGCACTCCTAGAGCAAACAAGAGCTCGGCTACTACATGTGTTAGTTCCCCAGAGCGGCGCCAACGATGCCAGATGGCGCCTGCGTTGACCAGAAGCATAGCTGCCCCGGTGCTACATAGGTACGCCTGCAAAGAGTTGCGTCATTAATATATCTGATCGCACGTTGAAAGAACTTTGAAAATTTGGAAATAAGGAAACTGTAATATAGGTCAGTTTAAGCAGTTTCATTGCTCATCAAAATTTAAACTAAAGTGTCACAGCAATGCAAAATAAGTAACATTTACAATAAAGTACACCAATGTCAATTCAATCATCCGAACTGATTGATCTCTGTCTTGATGTTCTATTCGTAATTTAATCTCAGAGTGATGATGTAACTGTTAAAAGGAAAAAATATGAAATTATTTTTAATGGAAAGTGTTGTACCTGCAAGGCCTTGCCATCGCAGCAGTCTGCTCCGGCGCATAACGCCAGCCCGGTCATTGCCAGGGTGTATGTGACCAACACTCCTCCTGATACTGACTGCTCCCAACGGAACACCCTTACGGAGCGGACGTGCATCGTCAAGACCGCCACCAGCAGAATGATGCTGACTAGTCTCAGTGATAGGATGGGTATTCTTTCTCTGTTAGGTGTGCCCGTCGATGGTACGGGTGCTTTATCCATTTGGTACAAAGTAAGCTATTAAAAAAAGGAACGAGTGACAATTTTGTCCCAGAAGTAGCACCTACTTAACAAAATAACTATTAGTTAAGGTTCAGGTTGATAGATGAGCCTTTCTGTAGCTCAGCCGAAGAACTGAAATCTTAGAGAGACGACAACTTCACATTACACTGTCAAGTCTGGACCAAAACTAATATTGACAACAATTTTGAACGCAAATCCTTCCTGGACTAAGTTTATAGAAATATAGAATGACTTGGGTGTCTTCAAAGCTCGCAAGAATAGCTTGCTTATGGGACCCCTTGCTCCATCGTAACCGCATCATTGCTCACCACCAGGCGAGATAGTGGGCAAACGCCGGCTTATTGCCAATAAAAAGATGTGCTATTTAACCAAACCTGCACTTCACATCGACTCCAAGTTTTATAGTTAGCAAAGAGCCAGGGAGAAGCGACAACAATAGTAACAAACAACCTTAACTTAAAGCACTATGCTCTGAAATTACTAACTTGGATGGTCATGTTGGCTGTAGTGGTACCGTTCTTAGATCATAATCCAGGTATTCAGGTAGGTTCTGCAGTAAACCCGCACATTATATTTACATCCTCATCTAGTATTGCACGTGATGACATGACAGAAGCAATAGAGAATGTAGAATGTTCAGTGGACGATGACGGATCGTTTTCCTCTATGTTCAGTTGATAGAATGATATAGCACCTTTTTTCAATCAGTCATGTTGATTTGCGAGAATTTGTTAGTTTTTTGTACCAGTCGTTCGAAATAAGATGTTGTTTATATTGGAATTGTGTCAAGTTGTAATCATTGGAATCATTACTGATTTTTAATTTTATTTGTTTCTACAGGTCTTTGTCTTTCTGTGCATTTTATCGTTTCTTTAGTTGTGTGTAAAGTGTACTAAATATTTTCCTTTTTCTTCCCAGGGTTATCAGCGACGTGTCACTTCCCTGGTGCGCCCGCGCACTCGAGAGTGACATTCTCCGATGAGACCTTGACTGAAGGCACTATCGCATCCTACGAGTGTGAACGAGGATTTGAACTCCTTGGACCCACCAGGAGAGCCTGTGGAGCCAACGGGAAATGGGCACCCGATGGCATTCCTTTTTGTGGTAAGTAGAGGCCATTGATTATTAATTTAAATCACTATAACTCAACATCATCAACAATGTACGACGCGAACATCTAAAATAATCATAATGAATGAAAAAACGTGACGAAATCGTATATATTTCAATGGAATAATAGAATAAAAATCACAAAGGGCATAGAGTATACTTTCTTTGAGAGTTGTGGGAGTATATGACAAAGAATCTTCCGCTTTTTAGATGCCATTCACAGCCATGTGAAGTGTTTTCACGAAGAAAGTAAAAGTCGGTCATGGGTACCGAGCAGGGTTGTACTGTATTGTAATTTGATTTAACGTATTGTGCATTGTTGCGATCATTTTACTAACACTTCTAGAAAAACGTAACATCACGTTTGGTTTTCTCTGGAGTGGCAGACTGTGACGTGCGTAGGTGTTGTTGTTGTCGGTCCTTGAATTAAGACATTTTGTTGTAAGTCATTAATATGACTAGCCCTCTGGTTGCGACTCACTCCATATTGAGACCTCCGACAAAATTACTCGAAAATCAGTTAAAGGTATACCACAGAAAAACAACGATTCAAAAGTATTTTTTCAGAATCGAATCAGCGAAATATAATTTGAAACATAAATTAATAAATTTCAGTCTGTAATTCGCATTAAGAGGAATTCGTTTTCCTTTAATCGACTTTACCGTTGATCGATCTTGTATCAAAGTAATGTTCGATTTGATTCGTAAAAAAATTAAAAAAATTTATACCAATAAATTTTATTTATTTTTTCCATCATAATACTTAGTGATGTAGACCTTAATACTAGTCTTAGTTATAATACTGACATTAAGCTTGTGAGAGACTTTAGTTCTACATAGGGTTTTGCGAAGTTTAAGTGACAATGACATGATGGAAGTCAGGAACTCAAATTATCAAATAATATCTAATAGTCTGTGCGTAATGCGCTGTGAAGAACATAAAGTACCCGGTTACGTTATGTTATTAATGTTAGTTTAGCATTGCACATAAAATCATGTCGCACCTAAGAAGTTGAGTATTTTCTAAGTCATACCGACAAAGTGACAACCATTCTGATGCAGCGTTGCAGCACCGACAGTGCGGCACTGCGCGTGCGTCTCTAGTTCAGGGATTTTTTTTTATAGCGTAATCCGGTAAATGAGCATACGGATCACCTGATGGTAAGTAATCGGCGCCGCCCATGAACACTCGAAACATCAAGGCGTTACAAGTGCGTTACCGGCGTTTTGGGAATTGGGAATTTGAGGATTGTGGAGGATTCGGAGATTCGGGAGACGGGGACTAAGGACTAGGGTAATTGGGCCTCCGGTAGCCTCACTCACACGACGAAACACAACGCAAGCGGTGTTTCACGTTGGTTTTCTGTGAGGCCGTGGTATCACTCCGGTCGAGCCAGCCCATTCGTGCCGAAGCATGCCTCTCCCACACTAGGGATGGTGAATGAGAGTAATAAAATGTATTTATTACCCATAAACGATTCACTTTTGTCTATATGTAATTTCAATTACATTATTGTATGTATTATAAATACTCCATTACTGTTTAAGTAAGACAATGGTACGTCGTTAGGTATTGTGCGCCTTTAGGGTATTTATTATAAATACTAGGCTGCCAAATATATTTTCTGTAAAGGATTGGACAAAGGTTTGTGTGTAGACGTGCTGACGGATGAACAGCGCAATTTAAGAACTTTTAAAGTTCATAACTCGTGGAAATAAATTTGTGTACCACAGGCGAAACGGAGATAAGCGATATCTTATAATATAAAATGAATCGCTGAATGTGTTCTCGAGAACAGCTGAAACGATTTCGCTAATTCCCTTTTTGATTGGGTTTGCCTGGGTTAGGTTAAGTTGTTAATTTATGTAAGAAAAAAATTAACTGCCTCGATGGCCGAGTGGTCGCAAGTGCGACTACCGGGCAAGGGGTCTCGGGTTCGATTCCCGGGTCGGGGAAAATATTACTGGGTTACATAGTGTGGGGCAACGTTTAAAAAAAAAAAACTCAGTGGTAGCACGGAGTCTGGAAATGTGCCCGGTATATTATGGCAGTAGGCTCACCCCCTATTACATGGGACTCATAATATAAATAGTGAAAAGTGGGTGTTACATTGCATAATGTACACCTCTGCCTATCCCTTCGGGGATCTAAGGAGGAGGCGAGACGCGTGAGGCAGCGAAGCGCTGCCTCCTCGCAACCCAGCCCAGCGCAGGCTCGCAACTCGCGGGCCTGCGGACGGCGAGCATGGGTGGCTCCCTTCTGAGTCTGACACTCCCTTCCGCCTCACCCAGGCGGGAGCAGTCATTCGATGATTTTCCCCCCGTAAAAAAAAAAATCCCTTCGGGGATAAAAGGCTTTCCCGTGGGATAAAATGTAGCCTAAATGTTATTTTCGACCCTAACCTACCCCTGTTCCAAATTTCATACCGTTCCTTAAAGCCGTTTTGACATGACAGAGTAACAGATAAACACATTTTCCGCATTTATAATACATGTAAGATTTACTTATACATACATACTTATAAGTTTCTATAATAGACATATCAATCAGAACTGGTACATAATTTTGAACGGTCGACACATACATACATACACATAACGGCGAGTGTATAAGAGTCAATCACGATCAATCAACATGACAGTGTTCTGCCAAGTACCCAGTGGTGCCCACCGTTGCTCCAGTTTCAGACACCTGCAGCCGCGGTAGTAGGTACTTATCTTACACTAATATATAAAATTTAAGAATTTGTTTGTTTGTTTGTCTGTTTGTTTGTTTGCGCTAATCTTCGGAACTACTGGACCGAATTGAACAATTCTTTTTGTGTTGAACAGCCCATTTATCGAAAAAGACTATAGGCTATATAACATCACGCTACATTCAATAGGAGCCGAGCAGCGAGTGAAACCGCGCGGCCGTTGCTAGTTATTGTGAATGTTACTCTTACCGTTATGTTATGCTCATCTGTACCATTCAATTATACCGCCCATGGCTCACAGATTGCTTGTGGCCTACCAATGGAATGCTATGTTATTTCTCAGTTGTTGTTTTGGTTTATTAACGTTTTCTCGTAGTTGTAAGCTATTGAGACGATTCTAATATCATAATTATGTTTTTGATTGAGTTTTTATGCCTATAATGAAATGATTTTCTTTTGTGGAAAGTTCGTGTTGTTGCGACTGATACTTGATATGGAATATAAATATGTAGATGCTATTATTGTGACTGCCTCATTGGGTTCGATTCCAGGGCCGGGCAAAATATTATCTGGGTTTTACAAAAAAATCACAGCATTAGCACGGAGTCTGGAATTGTGCCCGGTATATGGCAATAGGCTCACCCCTATTACATGGGACTCATAACACAAATAGTGTTACATTGCATAATGTATACATCTGCCTACCCTTTCGGGAATAAAAAGCGTGATGTTATGTTATGCTATTATTGTGTTCTCGATCCTCGAAAATGTTTTAAACTGCAATCTCCACACCATACGCTTGGAGATTATTGTAACCGTCTTATGTCAGGAAGGTCCATAGTCCAGCGATGGAACATGATTCTTGATTATGGTGATGACTATTCAAATGTTCGTTTAGTAGTCATCGATTTGTTGACCAGGAACCGTATTTGTCTATAAATCCGTCTTAAAATGAATCATTAAGTTCTTCCTTTTCAATCCTCTTAGTAAGAACGCGAAACCTGGAACATATTCTTGATGGATAACAGGATCAGCTCAGTAATGTGCGTGCACTAATAATTCTAGGAAAGTGGGTTCATGGTGCACTTTGTTTTTCCCTTCAGGCAGCTTACATGTATCTAGGTCAGTATAGGTATTAAAACTAGGCTTCTCATATATTATTAAAAATATGAGAAACTAGAACTGAACTAGTTCAGTTATATTAGGCTTCAGTAGACAGTGATCGATATTGCACTCACACAAACACGTTCTGATGTCCTATAAATGTGGCAGTCTCTCATTGGTCAATATAATGCACACATTGCAACGACTCCTGGGAATTTTACAGGTGTTCGACTACCCACGTTGTTTAAAACTATTGCACACATAGATAGTTTCACGTACGTGTGCGACTCGTGGCACGCTCTTATTGGTCGAAAAATGCACACATTGCAACAACTCCTGGGAACTGTACAGGTGTTAAACCACCGACGCTGAAATACTGTAAAATTATGCACACATACATACTTTGCATTTGTGTGCGAGACGTGGCGCGCTCTCATTGGTCCACAGTAAGGCGCCGCCATTTTATTTTCCTTGTGAAATACTGAATTATGAAATACGTAGTGCGCAGTATTTTAAGAATCGTTTCATTAATTTTCCAAAGGTTTCCTTGAAGCTTTTGCTTACAAGGTTTGTTTATGCCTAACTTACTTGTAAGTTGTTTACGTAAAAGGAAACATTTTGCGACAAGAGAAGAAGAAGGCGAACCTCTAGCTATGCTATGTGTTGCACATTTCAGTCATGCTACCTCCGATTCTGTATTTCGTGAAG